GCTGTGCCGCACCGACACTATACATTTACAAACATCCATGCCGTCTTTGGGATTCGAACCCGGGCCCTTCGGCACAGCAGTCGGCGACGCTGATCATTATACCGTTTGGGTGGCTGAAAAAGTCTTGGAAGCCTTTATTTAGTAACAACGGAGAATTGCATGCACCCAGAGGCAGTTATTCGATGATTTTTGAAAAAGTTGCTTTCGGCGGCTGCTCTGATACCCATATCTTCCCACGTGGTGATGCAATATAGATCAAAACTTTATTGAATAAGTTATACTATTTCTTTTAGTCTCGATTCCAATTTTATAGACGGTTAAAAGGCAATTTCCCTTGAGACTCGCAATATCGACAACGTTTAGAATCAGAAACGGAACAGCCATCGAGATCACATGAATCTTAAGTAATGTATGGAGCAGTCTTGGGATGTATGGAACAGTCTTGGGAATGTAGGAGCCTTTCTTCAGAATCTTTATGAGCTACTAATATGAATACATATGAGCTACACTCTATGAATAAGTACAAACAGCTAAAACGGCCGTAGATGGATTCTATACTGGTCGATCTTCACCAAGAAAACTTCTTTCATCACCAAAAATTGTACCTCATGATTACCAGATTATCTGAATACAGCAAAGCACATGCAGGCTATCTTGTTTCTACTTTATACATTGGGAAAAATCACGCAAACTAACTACGTCCCCATGACTTGAAAAATTTCAATGCACTTGGGTATAAAAGAATGAAAATAAAAGTATTTACTTTATTGCTCAACATTTAGAGATGACTAACTTCTAATCAAATACACAACGGGCATTTTGTAATTTTCTTTTTCTTAAATGTTGAGAAAATGTAACATCAGCAGGAATTGGAAACGCTCGCAGTTTCATCTTCGCTTAGCTTCTGAAGGTTACAAAGCTCTACCTGCACACCAGTTTTTATGACTTTTGCTATGTACATGGTGATTCAAAAAATATCTAGAAAAATTTAAACTTACAGGTGGGGAGCAGCTGCCTTCTTTTATCAGCAATCCTATACATAAAATGCATGTCGACGAACGTTGCGTTCACATAGCAAGCGCTTGAAATAGACACATAAATGAAGATTTACGCCAGAAAAACGTTTTCACTTGCCGCTCAACAGTGCATTATACACACCTTTCTCCATTTCTGCTTAAGCATACTATTACAAAATCTGCTCACTTTGGTCCCTCTACCTGCCTTTACATTTTTGTCAGATATTTTGATATCACCCTATATATAATCCTGTAACAGCTTGGCTTTCCGAGACCAAATACCATATCAAAGTATTACTACACAGAAAAAACACCGAACCTAACGGCTCATTCAGCTACAAGGGATCAAATCTAACTATCACTGTTCAACAGCTTAACCATCCAGCCAAGGATGGGCCTTAGAAGTAAGGAATATAATTTTAGACATCAATATTCTCACTTTCACAAAATTCTGGAACGAAACACTACATTTTTTATTATATATTAGTTTAGAATAAATAATCTAAATTAATCCAAACATTAAAGCTGTGAATTAAATTATTGCCATTATTATAAACATCAGGTGCATAAAAATATTACCACAGCAATTACATAGATAAATCATGTAACATTCAATGAAATTTCTACCGATAATTTACAGTTGCCATTTCTATTCAAATTCTGCAATATACTTTAAAATAACCTTCAATATTTATTACAGCCATTGTGTTCAGATTATGTGCAGACTTGTAAAGGATATTATAAAAGGACAGCTACTATTATCATTTCCTTAGGTAGTCCCAGATGAGTACACCTTAAATAGTACTTTCCTAGATCAGAATTTCCAATGAAGCTGTACAGAGTTTTATGAAAATAGTTTTAACACCGTGAGAAGGTTCTGCAAATTTAAAATTCTAGCATTTTATGAGGTCCTTACAGATTATAAATTTCATTTAATGAAGTATTCACTGTACTTTAACGTGTTAGGGGGAAAAAAAACTTATATCTTGCAAATTTTATAACGATCTTCCTGATGAAATCTTTCAAAAGGTCTGTTAATGACAAATACTCTTACACCTGATACTGAACCACAAGTAAAAACATGTAACTTTTGTTTTATAAATGCTTTCTAAACTTCGACCTTGGAAGCTTTTAACTACACCAGCAATATGCTTGCAAGAGAAATTCAAGGTAGTAAAATGTATTCTTGAATACCTTGCCTATGAAGGTATAAAATTTCTTTTATTTGTTAAAGCATAATGAATATTTTACTAAAAGGAACTTTTACCCTACAGGAGCTATAAAGAATATTACATTTGCTATTTTTATAGAATTTTCTGGCATATAATATTCAAAGTTTTTGAAAAAATTCACTACCTTAATTTTTAAAAATTTGAAAGTATATGAATCATTCATTAAGAAATAAAACTTTTCTGAGAACACTTGCTTAAATAACCTATTACACAATTCTATCATGCTTATAAAACTAACTAAAAGACCTCTCTTGCTAATTTTACATTAAAAAACATACTGGATATCCATTCCCTGATTTTAGTTTTAAGACCAATTAAAGTCTATACTACTTCATTTACCTTCAAAATATACTGTCTAAAATTCAACTGTTAAAATGCTATGTAACAAATATTTCCGCTTTTTTTTTTTTTTTTTTTACAGTAACTATGTAAGCAATTTAATTATACACTCATGTCCATAAATTAAGGATAATGCAAAATCAGGCAAAGGAGCAGTTAGAAGCAAAACAAATTTGACTTATTTGTAAAACTTATTTATTAAACAAAAGGTAAAGAGCAAAAAAAGATGCTATATGTTTGATATTATTAAAAAAATTAGCAATTTTTTCTCCCTGGAGCAAATTACAAAAAAAAAACTGTTTACAAAAAACCAATATTGCATGGTTGGTATGATTGTTAATACACTGTACGTCTCCCAGACGATTACAAGTCCGTACAACGCCTAGGCATGCTAAGTATCAAATTATTGATCTGATTTTTGGGGATATTACACCACTCAAACAGCAACGCTCTCCGACGTTCTGGTAGACATGTAGGAGGAGGTTGACGGGCTGCAACTTGTCAGCCAAGCATGTCCCACATGTGCTTTACTGGATCAAAGTCTGGTGAGAATGCTGGCCAGTCCATACGGGTGATATCCTCCGACTGAAGGCATTCACTTACGATGTTTGCATGGTGAGGACGGGCATTGTCATCCATAAACACAAATTGTGCGCCCATGGTGCCCCGAAACAAACGTACATGTTTTTCCAGAATGACGTCCCAATAGATTTGGCTTGTCATGGTTCCCATTAGAACATGCAGGTCAGTTCTGGAACCCAGAATACTTCCACCCCAAACGAGCACTCTTGCACCACCGTAACGGTGTCGTTCAATGATGTTTTCTTGGTGGTAACGGGTACCTGAAGCTCTCCATATGAATGTCCGGCGAAAATCAGACTGCAAGCTAAACCTGGACTCGTCGGAAAACATCACACAAGCCCACTGTTGCGGTGTCCACAATGCATGGTCTCTACTCCAGGCTAACCGCAGGCGATAGTGAGTTGCAGTAAGTGGAACGCATCTGACAGGTCTACGAGCATATAGACCAATCTGCCCTAGGCGTCTGTATACGGTCTGCCTTGAAATTGTCATACCAGTGGCTGAAGAGAGCTGATGTGATAGGTCTGACGCTGTGCTCCGCCTGTTTCTTTTGGCAGTAACTGCCAAATACCGGTCCTCATTCGGCATTGTAACTCTGGGGCAATCTGTGCTGTAACGTCTACTCACATTACCATCATCTTGGAATCATTGCCAAAGCCTGGAGATGACATTCTGGGCAATTCCAATTTCCTCTGATACTTCCAGTTGGGTACGCCTACATTCCAGACGGCCGATAATTCTACCACATAAAATATCATCCAAATGTGTCCTTTGTGTCATAACTATTCGGTTATTACACTGAAATGCTTATAAAGCACCAGCGAACAATTTTACTTCTTTGCCTGTATTCCTTATATATAGCTCTCTTACACTCTCGTCATTGTGACGTAGCATCGGTGTCATCTGGTTACTTCCTGAAATTTGCATATGATTCTCGAAGCTGTGTGTAGTGATTTTACAGGTGATATATTTATTTTAGAGTTCGATTTCCGAGTGACTCCGAATTATCCTTAATTTATGGACATGAGTGTACACTGATGCTGCCTTTCCGAATACAAAATGTTTTAGGTAGGAATAGCAAAAATATGGTGGCTATTTGCCAAAACAGATGCCTTTATGAAGGACATTCTAGATGTAAAAGGTCCACATTTACTTTAGCCAAGTGAAAAACCTTGAAAACATCCATGCAACTTGTCCACTCAATGTGGCCCACCAGTGCCCGAGCGGTAAAGTCCCTGAACACTAGTAGTTTAGTCCAAGGTTTGAATCCCAGAAACGAGCTGGCTGCATGGGCACTTTTTTTTTTTGGTTTTCCTGATGTGTAACATGTTAATACGAGTCAGTTTCCCTTAGAATGTCCTCCTTGAAGGCATCCCTCCCTTCAGTGTAGTGCTTTAGGGCAGAACACGTACATAACAATAACTTGCCCACTCACTAGGACTCAAACCTAAGTTGACTTACTAGTGTTAAATTCTGTTACTCAGTTATCCATCTCACTACGAATATTCCTTTAATTTGTGGCCAACATTTTACCTTTCTCTGTGATAAAAATGTTGGAGCTATAATTCTCTCTACTATTCCCAAGCTTTTACTGAAAATCAAATGCAATTTTATCATCCATATTGAAAAGAAGAAATAGATTCTAAAGTCCACAATTCAAAGGCAATGATCATTTCAAAATAGTCAGTATTTCGTATAAAATCTCTGTCAAACCTTACTTTACATTAAAGTATTAAATTCAAAATTTCTGATTTCCATCCAGTGTATCACTATTGTATGGTCTAAAAACATTTGAAAATCCCTTTTTAAGATTTCAAAAATTAAACATTTATTTTCATAGACAACTGATGCATTTATTTACGGTCCTTCACAAAAATCTACATTAATTGTAAGCAACAGATGTCAAAGAATATAAAGACAGAAAATGTGCAAAAAAATGTCTGCATCCTTAAGGAAGCTGGATACATTCTCAATTCACTTGATTTCTGCACCATTTGTGTTGCCACAGAAGATTGGTTTTCCAGCTGAAAAAAAAATAATAATTACAGACCTCAAATAAAATAAAATGTTCTTATAATTATTTCCCTTTTACAGAATGTGAATTTAAATTTCATGCACTTTAAAGAGAGGAATTCTTTCCCTTTTACAGAATGCGAATTTAAATTTTATACCGTTTAAGAAGAGGATTCATGCAGATTTCAATTTTGAAATGCAAGCTATTCAAACATAAAAATAGTCAGTTTACCTGAAGATTTAATAAAATAGTCATTAAAACTAGAATAACAATGCCATAAAGTATAATTCTTCATGTACGCTGAAGGCTACACAAAAGTTTCTCTTTACTTCAAGGATTCACTTCCTACATTACCCTACAAACCCAATTTCTCTTTAAGAAAATAAAATTCTTCAAACCCAGAACTACCAATCACTTTACTACAATATGCAAAATTTGGAAAAGGCAGAATTGTGTTTTTCCAGACATCATGGGTGTCTGGAGGCTATGAGAAGCAGGTTTGTGAATTGAAGCCCTATCCCAGAGTAAAAACATAGATTGTCCATATCGGCAGACAGCATATCTTGTCCATATCAACAGACAGAAACAGTGATAGTTTGTTGATTTTAATGATGGCAGTATTTTATCAGTATGATTTTTCCAGATCAGAACGCAACACACTGTTTTTAACAATTACTGGGAAAAATTCTTTTGAGATTAAATATAAAAGTTTTTCAAGAGCATTGCCATGTCTTTCTATTTTCAGAGTAAAAGAACAAAACACCGTAGTACTTAACACCCAATAACATAAATAATAATTTAGTAAAATTAGGTTAGACATAACTGAATGATCAAAAGTAATAATTTATATGCACTTTTTGGGAGTCATATGGGAAGCATATGATACTAATTCTGTGATAGAAAATAACTCCAAAATAATAAATCCATTTACCAGCTGTTTAAGCTTTGCTCTGGAAACTTATCAGCCATTTTGTTTTCAGGCCACTAAATGTTAAATGTGGACATACCTATTTAACTTCAGTGATATAATTACTAATTCTCAGAATGAAAGCAAAACAGGAGGTGCAATTTACTTGCTTATTCTCCTGATTTAGAAAAAATAACAAGAAGCAAAACTGGAAATTACATGTCCGGAACATCATTTGTGATAGCTCTTAAAAAGGTTGATAGCAATGCACTGGGAATTAAAATATCTACATGTCTTAAAGAACTTTTTATTATAAAATTCAGAACACACTTTATGTATATTATTGTTGCTAATAGTTACAAATACTATTTTTTTTTTATATTATGCAAAAATGAATGATTTAGAATTTATGTTTAGTGTTAACAGGTATAGATGAAAATGATTCAAAGGTCTTTCAAGTCTCAAATCTGCAAATTACTTTCCTGCCAACTCAAAATTATTCCTTGATACAAAATTGATTAAACTGTTTTTAATATGTCAATCTCTAAAAATATTTACTTATCCAATAACTAATATACATAGTAATTGGGTTTACTTATGTCCATAGTACATAAATAATAATCAGATTACCATAGATGGGAGTGTCCAAAAAAGATCAAACTATTAAAACTGCTCACCAACAACTGCAGATGGCATACTCCGGTCACCACGGACAACTAACAACATATCTTTGTAACACAGCACCCTTTGCTGAATTTTTTTTAATAATACCATTTGAGCAAGGTCTTCAAACATAGGCTGCTTGTTGGATATGTAAAAAATCAAAAATGAAGGGTTGGAGAAACAATACATCTCTGCATAATTTTGGGCAAAACTGGAGAAATCTTTCACAGAAACATTCTGAATGCTTCACCAAGCACATAAAAATGACTGCAAGAGCAAAACGGTGTATTCCAATTGATTTTTAATATTATAAGAAGGGCAGAAGTTCAGCTGATGAAGAACCAAAGACTTAAAAATATTTCATGTCAACAGACAACCAGCATGTTCAGAATGCATTATGAATTTGTATCCTGTAGTCAGACAGAAAGCAAGGAAATCTACTAGATAATTATAACATAACTCAGAGATGCTATGCATAAAAAGAGACCTGTATTGTGGGGGGGGGAATCAGTCCTAGATACTACATCATGACAATGCTCCAGCTCATGCATCACTCTTTGTCACCAATAATCTAAAAAAAATAAAATAAATAAATAAAAACCATTGCACTTTTGCACCCCACCTACCCTATTCTCTGGACTTGGTCCCAGAATTTTTCTCATTCCCAAGCTTAAAACCACTCTAAAAGGAGCTCATTTCCAGACTACAGAGGAAATTTCAGAAACGCAACAACAGTATTATTTGGCATCAAAGAAAGTTATTTCTAGCAGGTGATCTGAAAGTAAGAAGAAATGATGATCACAATGTGCTGACACTAGGGGGCAGTGGCTTGGAAGGCACAGTGGTTGAAAGTTTGTATAATTAGCAATAAAACAAGAATGCAAAAGTTGAGTCTTTTTTTTAACAAACCTTGTATGTTCATAGTTTAGTACAAACAGTTCAGATATGAGTGTATTACAGTTATAGTCTGGCATGTTCAGTCCAGGAATTTTATCCCTTACAGTATAAAATAAGTAAAAACCTAAATACAGCCATTAAAGACACACATTAAAACCTACATTTTCTACCGTCTGTTAAGTATAGCAAATAAATATAGTACTGCAAATACACATACACAAAACTACCTTTCAACTACAAGAAAAAAACTTTAAGAATCAAAGTTTAACTGTTTAATTTCAGCAAAGCACACAGAAAATGGCCTAGAAGAGATATAACTCTCCAAGATCCTCATGAAAAATAATAAATCTAATTTAATATTTTAAAAGGCAAAGAAACGTTCCACAATACCACACTATTAGGTGCTTCAAAAATAAAGTGGCCACCACTTTCCACCTTGGTGGCAGTCAAGCCTAAGTCAACTAAGTGCCCCTAATGGAAATACAAAATAAGTGTTCTCACTTTTAAAGTAAGTACTGTCAAAACAAAGTCTTTTAAGTGTGTCATTCTACTTTTCTATTTGTTTATTGAAATAATTTACCCAAGATATATGCTTCTTATGTTTGAAAATTTACAACATTTTTAAATGAAGTAATAATGAAAGTATGTTTTCTCACTGGAAGTATTAAGGAAGCATATGTTATTAAAGTGTTATTACACATGCAAAATGGTGTCAAAAGATATGTACTATTAAATAACAAGAAGTATTATAATAGTTAAACACTGCTACCAAATTATATTTCACCTGTCATGAAATTATGATGAGGAAATGTTCAAAATTAAAATCAATAGACTGTTTCAGTTCCTTCCAAAATAAGCTCAGTTATGTTCGGACACATATCTCAGTAAAATGCTTACATTATAATATGCTACACGAAACTTTGAATTCAGATATGAAGTGTAACCCCGTAAACCTAAATCAACAAATTGAAGGAAACATATTCTAAAATGAGGCTTGGAAAAAGGTGAAAAAGATCTTACTTTTCCTCTCCCAATGCATTACTTATTTCCCTTACAATGAAGATTGTTTAAATCTAAAGGATGTGGCTTTTATCTTTCTTTTAGTAATATCTAATATATTCAACACTCTTTACATGAACTGCCAGACAGTTTCCATTACAGGACAATGCAGAACAAACAGGATTGTACAGAAACCTATAGGTGTCAACACTGCCTATCAGCCACAGCGAATTTAATATTCTTATAACAGTGTTCTTGCACTGCCTAGATGGTATAGTGGTTAGGCAAACCTACTGTGATATCAAAGAGCCTGAGTTTGAATCCTGGAGAAGGCATGACTGTAATTGCCCATGCCTTCATAGAAGGGAAAGGTGGACCACCTATTAGGTGCTTCCAAAATAAAGTGGCCACCATTTCCAGCCTTAGCAGTGGCCAAGCCTAAGTTAGCCAAGTGCGCCTAATGGAAAAAATAACAGTGTTCTTGCTTTTATAGTAAGTACTGTTAATACAAAGTCTTATGTGTGTCATTCTATTTTTCTCTTTGTTTATTGAAATAATTTACCCAAGATACGTGATTCTTATGTTGGGAAATTAACAACATTAAATAAACTAATAATGAAAGTATGGTTTCTCTTTGGAAGTATTAAGTGCACATATCTATCTGGGGGAAATTGTTAGATGGATGTTGTCCTGTTATGGAAAATGTTAGAAAACTCTACCATATGCAAGACAATGGACATTTTTTAGATAACTGCATATTCAGTTTGTGGTGTACAGGAGGAAAAAAGAAAAATAATGGGAAAATGAAGTATGCTATAAAGCAACAAAACACCAGAAGTCAAATGGCTTTATCACTTTTTCACAAATGGCTTTTTATTTAAACACTGATGAAATCAGCAGGTCTTCAAAAATTCTTCAATAATGATGGAGTTGACCACTTCAGTAGTTTATTTGATATTGCATAGGTTTGTGTGAAACCTGAACTGGAGAAAGCAATCATGGTTTCCCTTAAAGATACCATTAACTACAAGCTAATTATGCTTCATATATTATTATGCTATTATAATTTATACCTTTATGAACTGTTATTCAAATACACCTAATATAAGTGTTCCAAGAAAGATATATAAACATAAATTCAAGAGAGATTAATATAATATTAATCTATCATAACTTCTATAGCAATACTTACTTATCTCAAGCTATAGCAGTAAGTTAATTTATTCCAGAAACTTCTTTTCCATTTTAACTCAATTATTTATTCTACAGGATATATTCATTACTTTGATCAACAATAGGTTATTTATATTTATATGTAACAGCTACAACTTCTTTTAAAAGCTACAATTTCTTCATAGATAATAAGCTGGCTCTTTTTTAGTGTGTTTCACAAAAAAAAAAAAAATGCAATTAATATTTTTTCCTTAATAATATCATAAATAATCAAAGTTCAGATCAAAATAAACATACAAAAAGAGGCAAAATTAACTTTCAATTTAATAAAGCACTGTGTATATAACTGGGAATTGTATGGATACTGCATCTCGACATTGTATATACTGATTCAAAAAATATTACCTACTATTATTTGGGTCAAATTTTCAAGGCAATTTTTTATGTTTAATGAAAACTTGTAAAATAATGAAAAAATATGTCCATGCCTAATAACACTTTTAGCATTTCCAATAACAGAAAAAATCTCAAACAAGAGAAAATTAGAAAAAAAAAAATCAGGACAATTCCTTTTTCCATATACAGACATTCTTTCACCTGGATATATACCAACTATTAATTTTGAAAGAAACTTGTTTACAAGCACAATCACAAAAAATAATTCTGCATATCACAGGAAGATGAATGAAAAAGATTTTCTTTTTCATTTTGTTCTGCAGTTCAAATTAGTGAGAAAACACCCTAGGTATATTTCAAGATTCTGCTTGCTGTAATAGACAGTACCTGTGATTATCCATCAAACCTGCATAATAAATTGCTGCAATCAATGACTGTAAGTGCAACAACTATTTTCTCAACAGCAGCATCACCTGGACGTGTGACAGGTAAGTCTACAGTTATAAGAGAAGAATAACTGTATTAAAATGTAGTACAGTTAAAAGTCTTTAATCCGGACTCGTCGGGACTTCGGTGATTCCGGATTATCGATTTTTCCGAATTATAGATCATCAGTTTAAATCTGGTAAGATGGCATGCAGAAATTATAAAATTAAAAATATGAAACCGTAATTTATAAAATAATGAGCAATTATGATCTAAAGGGTATCAAAATTTACAAAAAAAAGCTTAATATTTATTTGTTTACTTTATTAAACATTTCTTTCAACGCGCGCATGCGTTAAGCATACACTATGCATAGCCGAAATTAGAAAATTGCAACCAGAAAACTATTTGATTTGTATTCGTGATATTTATAATGACGATGAATTTGATTTAAATCATATCAAAGACGAAGTACATCGAGATGAAATACTACATTAATTAAGGAATTATAAGCCGAATAAAATAAAAACATCTGCTCTGAAGATAACGATAGTGTTGACAGATCAACTTCCAGTTCATTGCGCGCCGCCACGTTCCCTCTACCCCCCCCTGCGCAGAGCAGCGTGAAATTGATAAACAGATTTCGGAACGGTTAGATAAACAAAGGATATGCCTTTATCCATTTTTTGGAGCAATTCCACTTTTTGTTTGATGGACATCGAAACATACTTTCGTTTTCGTAGATCCTTTGGGAGTTCCAGCATCGGAAATTCTATTTGACATAATCGAAAGTTCAAGCTTACTTTTATAAAATTGCTCTTACAGTCTGCAAAAAAATAATAAGCCGGGGCCAATTCGAAGATTAAGGAAAACAACGCAATCATCAACATTAACTGAAATAGACAATTAGATAATTTTAGCTTATACGTCCGTTTTATACATTAAACGCGCCGTGAAAACGTATTCTGCGCTTGTGCACACGCAAATGCGCAGTCGTAAAGGTCTTACGCGCACGCTTAAACGCCTATGCGCATGCGTCATCGCGGTGCATGCGCAGAAAGTTTTTAGCTTTGAGGTCCGGATTATAGATCATTCCGTATTATGGGTGTCCGAATTAACGACTTTTGACTGTATAGTGAAATGTCTAATACGAAGGTACATAACTACTACTCCAGTTCAGAATCAAATTTAATGGATAATGTGTAACATTTCCTTCCAGCATGTTATCAAACAAGAGACTTTATTTTGAATCAAAACTGGTTGGTCATATCAGTAATACAGTAAAACTAATAATAAGAATAATACATTATAAAAACATGTATAGGGAAAATATCTATAAGCCATAGAAACTAACACTAGAAACATATCTTAAATTTGTTTTTAGAAGTCTGCTTGAGACATTATACTGCAGCACATTTTTTAACACTACATAGTTCATTCCCCCCTCCCCCCAATCTTCAAAAATAACCTATACATTTACATATTACAAGAGAAAGAAGCACTTACAACTCAACATCTCTGAAAAAACTTCTTAATAGCACAGTGTAAATAATAACTGATTGTGTGTATATTTGAACATTAAACATACTACTAAGATGTTTGAGTAAGTTATCCTCAAACGCAGTTACTAAAGAATCGTAAGTTGCAATAATGATAAACTCTTCATTTAAGAAGAAAGAAATATTACTTAGCTTTAAAAGAACAAAATAAGTTAAAACTTCAGAAACAATTGAAATAATTATTCAACATATTCAAAAGAAACTTACATAAACTAATTCAGTCATTTTAAAAATAACACCAGTTTTATTTATAGCTGCAGGATCTTTTCCAAAAAGACCAGAAGATGGAAAAGGCTACGGCTCACAGTCCTATCATGCCAATTTTATATCTTTTGGCATATGTTTGATCAAGGTTTCTGAGTTTCGTTATGCAAAAGAACTACTCGCTTTCAGAAGCTTAAATTATTGTCTGGACATAAGAATTATTTCTTGCCTTTTTGTTGTAGATTATTACAATATATTTTTTAACTATGGGAAAAGAATATGCTTGACATTTAACAGAAAAGAAAAAAACTAAAACAAGAGAAATGACCTAAAGGAAGTTTTCATTGCACTTTGTTTTTCTCATAACTTTCAAAATAAACATTTACATGAATTAGTACATGTATGAAAATCAACACTTTCAACACTAGAAATGTAACAACCTGGCTTTACTAGTTCCCTCAATACTCATATCAAATTAATCAGTGGAACAATCATCTTCAGTATTAAAAGGAACTGATAACTAAATTAGATCAACAAAGTCACAAAGTTTAAATGATGTAATTATCCACTGAAAATTAAAATATTTCTCTCATTTTAAGGAGCTATAGTAAGTAATTTGCTAATGAGTAAAACGGGCAGATTTCTCAGACGAATCCAATCTCTTCTAACCCTGATAGATTTGGTCTAAAAAGGGAGAAGAATGACCTTGAATATATTGATTTCTAATGAACTCTGCACAATTATACTGAACTTAAACAATAATGCAGGTGCAAAAGCTCATTTGAACCTCTTGGAAATCTGTAGGAAAACTTGAGTCTTTAACTATACTGCACCTGAATTCTCTGAAGCTTTAACGCTTCGATCAGATTAATAATAATGTACAAATATTCAATATAAAAGAATTTAAAAATAAACACCTTACTGTCTCTTCTTGCTTGAAAAAGTAAATTGCTGGTGTCACTCTCTTGGCTTCAGTTACTGACCTGGAAATATGTCTTCTTAACCTCATGAATATTACATTTAGCACAGCCTACTATTGAGATATTGCTAGGATGCCTACTATTGAGATATTGCTAGGATACCTACATGAAAAAAAAATTGCAGATTATGGTAATAAATATTTATTTGTTAATAAATATGGAGATTTCCAGTTTACATTATATCCATAACAATTAGAAATGTGCAATACTGAACATACATGTATCTCATACACACTAAAATCTCTTGTAATCTACACCCAGTTAACTGGCAATATCAGGATAGTGGCACTTTTAAGGCCTGAACTTTAATACAAAATTTAGGCTATGATATATATTTAATGGGCAAACAATATGGAGATTTAAATATGGAAAACATTTATGTTGTGTTTCTGCCACCTATCGCAAAAAGTCTTATTCAAACAATTGATAAAAGAATTGTCTCGGATATAAAAATAAAATACCAATTCCTTTGTGAGCATCGATGCATGAATTTTGAAGGTATTGCCCATAATTTTCAAAAACAGTTCACATTAAAAGAAGCAGAGTTTACTTTGTCTGTTGCTAAGATATATGTAATGAATATTACTTTATGTCACTACAGTACAAAGTCTTTAATCCGGACGTCCATAATCAGGAATGATCTATTATCCGGACATCAAAGCTACAAACTTTCTGTGCATGCATAGCGTTTACGCATGCGCATAATACATTTACACATGCACGTTTAATGTATAACGGATGGTATAAGCTAGGTTAAAATATTATTCAGTTAATGTTGAAATGTGTTGTTCCTTAGTTTCTAATTGGACCGGCTATATTTTTGCAGATGTTAGAGCAATTTTATCAAAGTAAGCTTGAACTTCGATAGTCAAAAAGAGTTTCTGATTGAGTGGCAGAAAGGATTAAAAGCGAAAGAGTTTCGTGTCATCAAACAAAAGTGAATTGCTGCAAAAAAATGGATAAAGCATGAAGAAAGTGAAGAGAGTTAGTGAAAAATGAAAAAATTTGATGACAAATGTGGTCTCTCAGCACAGCAATTACGGACTTGACAGAGGACTTGTAACGAACAAGAAATCTTGTCTGTTTATAGATTAAAGACAAAGATAGCACATAAAACAAAGCAACTTAAAAACTACATGAAATAATGTTTAATAAAGTAAACAATAAATATTAGTTTTCTTGTAAATTTTGATGACCTTTAGACATAATTGCTGTTTTTCAAAAATTAGGGTTTATATTTTGATTTATAATTCTGCATGCCATCTTACAGATTTAAATGATGATCATAATGGGAAAAACCTACTCCGGAATCGCTGAAGTCCCGACGAGTCCGGATTAAAGACTTTGTACTGTATTTGAGTAAATTGCGGACTGGAATCACATCCATAGGTAATGACCTAAGTGATGAAAATTCTGTTGGTTTTTATATAAATTTGGTACCTTGGCAGAGATCTAGCAAGTACTTAACATGTTTGGAGATTATTAGTGAAGAGTAGCTGCACATTTGAGTTAAAGTAGACAATTTTGTTTCCATCACTGTTCTTCAAGATGATGACAAAATAATTGTGTAGAAATGTAGAAAGATGATGAGGTTGGTTGGTTAATTTTTTAATGGCACAAAACCTCGAGGGTTACTAATGAAAAAGAAAGCATTATACATGGGAAGAACAGCACAGCAAAAGAATTACGTAAGGATTTCTTGAAAAAGGAAAATGCTTCATTATGGATGTTTCTTGGTAATGAAATTAGGCGATGTCTTACACATATTAGCTTGGTAAAGCAACTCTGCGACATTTTGGAGTAAGGTACTGACAATCAGAAAGTACCAAAAGAATTTATAACATATCTAAAAAAAAAAAAAATGCTAATAGAAAATAACGGACTACAATTACATAAAGAGGTTGATATAGCATATAATTACTTTTCTATTAAAGTCCATAAGCTACATATTGCCTAAATAATATGTAGCGGCATGTTATGTTCATTCATGTTCATGATGATGTTTGGTTTGATTTGGCTTTATTTAGTTATGCAAAATATACAAGGGCTATCTACCTAGCAGAAGGGATATCTTCATTGAGGAATTTTCTAAGGGAAACAGGCTTGCATTCATGCTACACATGGGGAAAACTATAAAAACACCCACACAGTCAGTTTACTTGCTCAGATTCGAGGAATGGTCAAACCATCAGTGTTCAGTAACTTTACCGCTCAACTGCTGGTGGGCCATATGTGATGAAGTCTTAATAATGTGATTAAATGAATGTTTAGCGGTTTACAATGCATTACAATTCATCACGTGATAACACACATGCCAAATATTTGAACTATGCTTCACAGTAAATTTATAATGAATAATTCTGGTGTTTTACTTAACTCTGAGATGATACTGAAAAGGGAAAGTATTTATCACTATCATATATAGAACTATACAGTTTTGGTGAATGAGAGAATGAAAAAAATCGTACTGTCCTTAGAAATACTTGCTACTTAGAAGTCACACTGTCAGCAGAGTACTGGAATTAGGCTAATCCCATAACATTTTAGTTAGCAACAGTTAGAAATAATTTTTTTCATAACATTCAAAGGCATTAAAATCATTTCATAACTCTTGAGAACACTCTCTTTGAGTGTTAACTGCAGTTTCATGCAAATCAAATATATTACTGTTGCCTGCCCTCTTGCAAGAAAAGACTTGCTAATTTTCACCTGCTCCCAAATCCCACTATACATGCTGATTGTGTAGTGACTACTAAGTTAGAGCATGTACACAAGTATTATTATACATGCTGTTAACTATTAATAATAGGCATAAAAACTTTTTAATTTTTCACAACTCTTATATGTGAAATCAATTTAACATTTAGTACCATATTTTAGTTTATGTTCATGAAAGTTTTCTTGTAATACCTGAAATAATATAATGATGCAGGATTTCAGAGTTTAATATTTGGAGAGCTGAATGGTACAAAGAAATGAATCGCCATGCAAGGAATAGTTACAGAACATGCATAACTGATAACAGTTGTCATGCAGCTGCTGCATGTCAATTCAGTGGTGCAGCTAGCACTTTTGCACACCCCCCCCCAGTTTTGCTATCCTTTTTAATATATACAAATAAATAATTACAAAAAGTCAAAATAATAGGGGGATAAAATAATAGGTGCAAATGTAGGGGAATAAATTAAAACTACATTTTGAAGAAAAACTTCAATTCTGATATTTTAAAATTATATTATTTTGCTTTTCTCTCTTCACAAAACTATTTATGACATTGTGGAAGTCTATTTGATTGCTCCAGTTACTGTTCTGTAGACAGCAGAGAAACATTTCTTAAATGCAAAATATACATTTGTAGTTCTTAAATACTTCTTAAATGGTTTTCATTTAGAAAATGCTTCTCAAATCTAGCAACTTTTACAGCAATTGAGAGGAAAATTCACATTAGTATTACAATATTTGAAACTTTATTCTGGAGAGATTGTATTTTAACGAACACACTGCCAAAAACTGAAGATGACTAACATTACAAGTTCCAATTTCAATTTTCTTAGCAATAATGGGAAAAAACACTAATATGCTTCTTTCTTTAATGAGTAATTATTCTTTATTATTCACAGTGATCATAATTTTATTCATATTCCTAATCTGCATTTAAAAGTTTCGATGGAATAGAAAAGGTATAAGAAAAATTATGTAGCTTTTGGAATTACTTGCCACTTTTCTTTAATACTTTTATCTAGTATAAAAACTTTTCTTCTCTATTTAATTCAATTAAGAATCTAATTATTCTTCACCTGCCTTGAGAGAATCCACTTCAATAAACTCTACAAAATAATGTTTGAAGCAAAAAATGTCGTCCGAGGCAGACCGCTTTCAACTAGCTATGCAACCATGACTACTTGTTGTTCAAGCTATCAGTAAATAAATTCTCTGACCTCAATCCCAATCTGCCATATAATTTGGGATATCACATTTAAAAATTAGGTTAGGTTATTGGAATATGGCAAAGCACATGAGGATTGGATCATATTGAATCCAGGTTAAATTCCTAATATTCAGTGGCATTAACCACTCAGCCACTGGTGGAACTCAGGTGAATCAACGAAAGTCACAAAAGTAGATTTACATATTCTCGCTTATACAAACAATGATGAGGACACTATACAACTTCAAAATAATGAATGGCAAAAGTATATTTACATGTACCCCTCGGCAAAAATTGGCAATTTTTGGCAGTACATGGATTGGATTGGATTATTCAGTTATGGCAAAGCACACAAGGCCTATCTGCCTAAAGGGAGGGATGCCTTCATGAGATTTTAGGAAACTGGCTCGTACACACGTCACTGGAAAAACCACGAAATGCCCAGCAGGCAGCCTTCGAGGATTGAACCTAGACCGACTACATGTTCCTCTTACCGCTCAGCGCTGTGGCAGGCGTACATGGATACTGAGTTTGTGCAATTCTTTGACTTGTTATTTTGGCTTGTGTATCGTGCTACACATAGCCAAAATAACAAGACAAAGAACTGCACAGTATCCATGTACAAACGACCTATTTTTACTTTAAAAAAATATCCCAGAATTGCACAAACTTGCCATTGCGCACTCCCTTGACTTTAACCATGTGCACATTGACCTATTTTTCACTTTAAAAAAATCAGAGAATTTTACGAACTAGGCATTGCGATAACTAGGATCCCTTTGTCTATGTACACATCGAATATATTCATTTAAAATGTCAAAGGAGCAACCAATAAAAAAATATATAATCTCAATAAACTACATTTTAAAACAAACAATGAAATAACACAAAAAAGGAAATTCATCTTTGCACTACACAAAGGAAATATCCACTTACCTTATTTACGAATTAACATGTCTTCAGTCAAACAAAACTCCTTAACAGCATTCAAAAACTTCCTAAAATTATCGGAACTAGAATGGGTATACTGGCGTCACCACATAAATTCACAAAATAAGAATAAAAAATGTCTTCTGTAGCATCATATCGTCCGACCACACACATTTCCTTTCTACAAACAGGATACTTAATAATTGCTACTAAGTAAACCTTCATTTATGCACCACTCAAGTAATGCTATTTTTCCCTTTCTTTCCAAATCGTACAGAAACTTCAAATTCATCTTAAGACATTCAGACATTTTGCCATCTAAACCAGAAAACAAGCATTGTACTTCCTAGTGAACACACATGACAAAGCCCTTACAAATTCACTGCAATCATGCAACCGTACGTCATAACAGGTTTTCTATAATATTCAACTACTCAGGTTATCATAAATAAACCACCACTTGGCGATAAATGAAACAACAACTTGGCGATAATACAAGGGGTACCCTTCTCTCTACTCTAACCTATTTAACGATATGTAAATTATGAAGTCTGTTTTATGGGCCTTGCATTTCTTTTGGAGACTGAACTGTTCTAAATTATTTTTATGAATCAGAATAAAAATCATATATTACAGCATAATGAGTGATTTTCCCTTTTCAAAAGATTTCCACAAATTTATAACAGGAATACATTACTATTCGTATTCAAAATACCATAAACCACATTATGGGGACCACCTCCCCATAATCAGAAATCTACATCAGAAATGCACCATTATTTTAAGAGAAAATTTTTTACAAACATTGGTACTTTCTGTAATACAGTTAAATACCAAAAATCCGTCAACATGAAATCCCCCAACTCCTGAAATCTGCGTTGCCTCTCAAAATATAAACATTCAGTTTAAAGGTTCCAAAAACCACGACATTGAGTACGAAATATCGAAGAAAAAATACTTACTGATAGACGTATAATTACCGATAATAAGTCATACGAAATACCAATTATACATCATGATAAAGTTTTTTCCTCTAATCCTCAGGAAAAAGCAGATGATTCACCACTTTCGTCATTCATGATCACTTGTTTCTGACTTTGTTTTTCACGAGATATTTATGGCTGCCTTTTTTTAATCCAGATATTTTGTTGATAATTTAGAATATTTTAATTTCGTCTTTTATGCATTAATAAAAACCCTCATGATTTACTGCTTGCAAGTTGAAAAACGTAACACGCTCATTATGTATGCAAAAAGGCAAATTTGCAAAGATGGAGACGGTGCATTATATCAGATCTTGTCGAATTGTGTACAATTGTGTAGATATACGAAAATTTAAAAAAACTGTCAAATTTTAAGCACAGTGTCTAACACGAATCCGAAACCAAACTTGCACGAGGCAACTCAGCAACCTCGATGCTGTGTGCTATATCATATCTATATAATCTTTTAATATTTATAATTTAATGCTAAATAGTGATTGAAACGTTAATAATAATTAATGGCATTATATGCCTTTTATTGATATTATGATTTATCTTTTCTGTCCTTAAATCCCGGAAATCCTAAAATCCGCACAACCTCTGGTCCCAAGCTTTGCGGATTTCTGAACTTCTACAGTACGATCAAAACTCTCTAACATGATAACCTCTCCCAATAACTAAAACTATCTTGAGCATGAATGATAATCTTAAGAGAAAATTAATCTTCCCCAAAAATGGTCTCATCTTAACGAAAGCCACAATATACCACTGGCAGACACAGTATGACTAACAAAACTGTCAGAATTATACACATATATTTCAAATCTTGGTCAGGATTGAGGTAGAAAGACAATACTGGCATGTTTAGTTTTCTATATTATGAAATTGACCCTTTTTGACTGATAAAATTTTTTCAAATTTATCAATTGTTTATTCCTTTCATTTTTAAATATTTTCACTGTTGCTGTAAACCATGAATAATTAAACACACAGTAAATCAGCAGATATGCCAGTGTGATTGTGGTGGATTTTGCATGAATGCTGAAAAACATTATTACGGCCCCTGACATAAAAATAAAAGGACTACCAGTACAAAAAGAAAGTTTCCAACTAATGAATAAGCAATACGAATGTAATTTTTAAGCTTTCACAATTTCACAGAACTAATATGCATCTGCTTTCAATGCTGGGCTAAATAGTTCAATTAATATGAAACATGTAATAAGACAACCTTGAAAATAAAATGAATTTTATACATATATATATATACCTATAATGCGTATTTACTTCAACTGTTTATTATATTAGAGGAAATGTACAACATTTTTAATAAGCATGAAACTCTGAAATAAGTGAATAAATTACATCTTTTCCCATTTTAAATAACATGTTTAAAGAAAATCTACTTCAGGTAGTTTAAATGGTAGGTGCAATGTTTCAAAATAATTTTATAATCAAAGAACAAGAATTCAACAGCATAATCTCAGATTTTGATTATTTTATATTTACTGCCATTTTCACAACATCTCATTTGAAATAAATAGTGAAAATAATCATTTTAAAGAAAAAAGAAAAATTTATAAAAAAAACACTCATTTTATACCAAGAGAATTCAGACAAAACAGCAAAATCTGTGAAATCTATAGATCAAATAATGAGCTTTAGCTAATGAACAATAAAAATTAGTTTCCATTTTTGTATAATTGAATTTTGTAATTTGTATAAATGACTAAACATTTTGCATATACAGTAGCACTATTTCTAAGGAGATACATTTCATGCTAATCTTTATTATTATTACTTAGTGACATAAATGCATTAATTTTAATCAAGAGTAGGCACTTTTCAATTAAAGAGGCATGAGCATCATGCACACACATTACAATTAGTCTCTCTTAAATGGAAAAATACTTAAGGGTCAACATCAAAGTAACAAAATACGTAGAGTACACAACATACAACTTTGCATCATAAACACTAAATGTAACTCACCAGAATTATTGTGAAATCCATAGTAAAAGCCTTCTTATGAACAGAGCCACCTATCTGTAAAAGTACAAAATATATGATTTTAAATAAGAGATTTTAAAATAACATATATATACAATTTAACAAAAATTAATGATTGTACTATCAAGGAAAGTGCAATACTTCTGTAAAGAATTATTTTAACTAATAAAACAATTTAAACAAAATAAACATTAAAATACAAAGTAATATAAATGAATTTTTTTAATTTCATTTTTTGCATATCACAATACTTTATCATTTATTTTCCTAATAAATTAAATCAATCTCACTATTAGCACCAGATTTTCCTGCGAAAGGTCAAATAAAACCTTATTAAACTGGTATTAAATTTATATATATATGTATATATATATATATATATAACAGTCAAAATCGTTAATTAACCCCCTAATCGGACCTCAAAGCTACAAACTTTCTGCGCATGCGTCGCGTGACGTTTATCGTTTAATATATGGCATTACTGGCGTTTACGCGTGCGCGTAAGACCTTACGGCTGTGAATTGTGTGTGGGCAAGCACATAATGTTTACGCACACGTTAATGTAAAGGGATGGTATAAGCTGACTAAAATTATCTAATTGTTAATGTTGCAGATTGCGTTGTTCCTTAATCTTCGAATTGGATCTGACTTATTTTTTCAGACTGTTAGAGCAATTTATAAAAGAAGCTTGAACTTCGGTTATGTCAATAGAATTTCCGATATATATTTACTAATATGTAAGGATCTACAAAGCGAAAGTATATTTTGAAATCCGAAATCTGTTCATCAATTTCAGCTGCTTGCAGCAGGGGGGGGAAACGCGTGGCGTGCAATGAAGTGGAAGTTGATCTGTCAGCACTATCCTTATCTTCAGGGCAGATGTTTTTATTTTATTTGGCTTATAATTCCTTACTAATGTAGTATTTCATCTCGATGTACTCCGTCTTTGATTGATTTAAATCAATTCCTTCCATTATAATTCGCTTCCGATAGTGAGAAAGGACAGAGAGTTATTGAAAAGAAAAATTTCGACTGACAATTAGTCGTATTTCCGACACAGCAATTATAGGACTTGACCGCGGAACTTTGTAACTAAACAAGAATTATGTCTGTTTAATAGAATTAAAAGAAAGTATTGTCACATGAAATGAACAACTTAAACAACTTACATTGAAAGAAATGTTTAAAATAAACAATAAATTAACTTTTTCTTTTTGTAAATTGATACCCTTTATCATAATTGTTCTTTATTTTAAATTACGTTTTCAATTTTTAATTTGTAATTTCTGCATGCCATCTTACCAGATTTAAACTGATGATCTATAATCCGGAAAAATCGATAATCCGGAATCGGATCCTGACGAGTCCGGATTAACAACTTTTGACTATAGTTACATTCTGTATTGACGATTTGATGGTTAAGTAAATTTATCAATATTTTAAAACTTCAGAAGGTGGCAGCATTAAAAATTAACATGGATTATCAATTAAATGACAAAGTAAAGGCTATATATAAGTTTTTTTCAAGTTACTTAGATTAATTAGTAATAGGACTACACATTTTTCCTTTATCACCAAAACTTAAGGTACTTTTCAATGCAAATCAGAAATCTGAAAAAGCCGGTATCAGGTATTCAATGTTTTCATTCTAGAATGAGAAAATTACGATAAAATATAATATTATTCAAAAGGCAACACTTTTTATGGCAGGAAAAATAATTGAAAGAAAAAAAAAAAGAATGGTATTATTCGGTTTCAAGGACCGTAAAAAAATTGCACCGAAAATGTATGCTCGAAAGCGCCAAATCTAGCAAACACCATTTAACAGCGTGCCAAATCTCGTGTACGCGCTGATTTCAGATTGCGTAATTAATAGTCTAATTTTTAAGAGCCATTGAATCTAGTTTAATTTTAAATCCTTTTTGGATCCTAGGATTAACATTTGGAAATGCCATGACAAAAGTCTGCAAGAATTTGGAAGGCAGAATCACCCCTGCTTACACGTTTTAAGAACTGACATACTCGGTATCCATGACCATCGACTTATTCATTAAAACAAATCAGAATGCACAAAAATGACATGCGCCACCCTATCTAGTACACATGACCTATTGTCACTTAAAAATAAAGATAATGACAAATTACATGTTTACCTTTGAAAGCGGCAAATAAAAGAGAAATAGCGGGCGATTCTGCACTTTACCGAAATGTTTTCGAAAAAGGCATCATCATTAAGAATATGTTTGAACAACCACAAGACTTTGCTTTAGCGATAACTCGTAGCGATATTATATGAAATTAACTTTCATCTAAATTAAAACATCAATATTTAAATAGTTATTTACTATTATACTTCCTTTCTCGTGTTAGGGTTGTCGCAATTACTTTTGGCAGCACTGGCATCAACAATAGTTTGGCGATTTCTTACGACCCTCGAAACCGAATAGTACCAAAAGAATATCCTGAAGTCTTACTCTACTGCTTTGTTTAACCATTTTTTTTTCATTTTGTACTTATTTATATATGTTAAAACTCGGCAAGTGCAACTACATCATACTAAATATTGCCTGTAAAGTAAAAAGTACAATGTAGGATTTGGTGAATCGCATATTACTCAATGAAATGTAAACTTAAAATAGCCAGAGCAATGCAGAAAGAAAATTTCTGCAATTATTTGAGAAAAATCTAGGCACAAAATATGGATAGTAGTTATATAAAAAGACAGTCAATATTGATTACCTTCTAAAATTTAATTCTAGAAAGATTCGACTGCGACTCGGTTTTTAGTGGAACTGGATCCAATCCATTTTCATACCATTAGTTTTTTAGAAAGATAAATTAAAAGATAAATGTCCTAAACAAGGGCCTTGAAATAGCTCCTGGGTCGTTAAATGTGCGAACTGTTTTTCTGTTATTTTTATCATAAAAACTAGTATATTGAGGGTGTTATTTATACATAATAAAATTATGTAACTGTATTCTGAAAGTTTTTATACTTATTGATAAATGTTGCAGTAAAAAGTTGAGTTATTTCTAAATCATGCTATTCATTAGTGTTAAAATAATTTCTATCTGATATGCATTATAC